CTCTTCCCTTGAGACCTACCCCTGGAATTAGAGCTCTTCACTTTTGTCCTGCCATTTGACTGTATCCACTTCCAGTGTTGGTTGCAATGCAATATGCAGCATCTGTCATGAAACTAAACTACCATTAAAAAACTGTATTCAGCAGTAATGGAATTGTAAATTGTATATCTAGTTAGGTAATTTTAAAAAATTAAACTAATTAATTATTTTATCATTATTACTTTTTTGGAGACAAGGCCTTACTCTGTCACCCAGGCTGGAATGCAGTGGCACAATCACAGCTCCCTGCAGCCTCAAAATCCTCAAGTGATCCTCCTACCTCAGCCTCCTGATGAGCTTGGGCTGCAGGCCCATGTTGCCACACCTGGCTAGATAACTTACAGAAACACTTTCTAATGTTCTTCATTTGATGAATCATCAACTTCAAACTGCAGTGTCAACCTCTTTAATCCAGTTTTCGGTTTCACCGTCCTGCCCATCAAGAAAGAGGCTCCTCCTCCATCTCTGACCCTTAAAGTCACAGTCCCTTCTTGCTACCTACCTCATCTGGTTTCACATACCAGTATAAAAAACGCTGGGTTTTTTTGTTTGTTTGTTTTGTTTTGTTTTGTTTTGTTTACAGTTTTAAATACCAAATGCCTATCTCTGACTAGAGATGGAACATTGCTTTTTATCTCTCCTCCTCTTTCTTCTCCTTTGGAAATTTCACAGTCTCTTTGGTTTTTATATAATGGTTATGATTATGGGTTCTTCAGTCATATTGCCTAAGTTTGATTCTGGACTAGGTACTTATTAGCTGGGAGCATTGGTTAAATTATATAATCTCTCTGTAGCTCTGTTTTCTCACTCAAAAATAGTAATAATAGTGTCTACCTGATAGGGTTTTTATGAGGACTTAAAGAGCTTATACTTGTAACGTTCTTGGAATAGTACTTCACGAAGCACTCGGGGTGTGTGTGTGTGTGTGTGCGTGTGTGCGTGTGCGCATGAGTATGTGAGTGTTGTATGTGAACTAGAGATGTCTTTTTTCTGAATCTCACCACGCAGAACCAAGTATAGTTCTAAACTAACTCTCAGATCTCAATGAGTACAGCCTCCATTCCCACCCTCTTTGTGTTCTGGGTTCCTCTGAATCTCTTAACCTCCTTTGCAGCCATGCCCATAGGACTCGTCAAACAGGATAAGAATCCTTCCATAAAGAATCTCTGACACCGCTGGCCTCATCATGGCACATTCTAGAATGAGAAAGAACCCACATTCACCAAACATCTCCTACATTAGGATTGGTTAGATTTATTCTTAATGTGAAATGTTGCTAAGAATGTCCTACATTGTCCTAGTTAAGTAGAGAAAGCTTGGGAGCCGGATTGTTTGGGTGTGAGTCTAACATTTTCCATCTGCTTAAAGTTTACATCTATAAACGGGGTGATAATGGGAAATGGATTGGCTATAATGATAAATCGAGGTTATCTCTATAAAGTCCCTCTCAGTGTGCAGTGGATGGCACAGAGTAATTTAGAATAATGCTAGCTGTTACCATTATTATTAAAACCCTTTTTTCCATTGAATTGTCTCTGTGTGGGGCTTTCCATTCATCCCCAGCAATGAAAAGTTGTGTGGTGGTACTTGCTAACTTCCTCTAAGTAAAGAGCATGTGCTTATTCAGAGAAAATCACAGACAGTCCCGTGGAGGAGGCAGGAAGAGTAGAAACAAATGACCAACGCAATCTCGGCAGATTGGAAAGTGGATTTTGTTGTGTGATTGCTTCGGATTGCCAGATGAATGTTTATGGATTCACTGTTGCTGACAACAGAAATTGTCAGACTTGTGAAACCCCATCTCTACTAAAAATACAAAAAAAATTAGCTGGGCAGAGTGGCGAGCACCTGTAATGCCAGCTGCTTGGAAAGCTGAGGGAGGAGAATCACTTGAACCCAGGAGGTGAAGGTTGCAGTGAGCCGAGATCTTGCCACTACACTCCAGCCCGGGTGACAGAATGAGATTCCGTCCTCCCCACCCCCCAAAAAAGAAATTGTCAGATAGTTCGTAGGATATTATAAAAATCAATTTTTCTCCAAGCTAAAGTAGGCATTTAGGTACATTTACTACTTATAAGAGAGGAAGTGCAATTGAGGGGAAACATCCAAATGTGGATGAAAGTGGATGGAGGTATCAATGGGTTCTGGAGTCTCTGCCTCTGGCTGTATTTTTAAAAAACTTTTTATAGATATGACTATATTGGTAATCACTGCTGTTCAGCTACTACTGAGCATACCTGAGTAAGTCAGAGGTAGAGTGACTTTTAAGCTTCTGGACTCTAGAGTGTACAAAATAATTTTTTTTCCCAGCATTCTCAACTCAATAAGTAGTTAAATTAAAAAATGTTAAGTATAACAAATGCGTTAAAAACTAAATACTTCCCAGGCAGGAAAAAGGAATGCTTTGCAGAATCTGTTGGTTCATTCAGTCTCAGATATAAAGAGAGTAGTGAACGTAGATGGTATTTGGTACCATGATTCCAGGAGATGACTGAGGCTGGAGATTCAAATGTAACACCTGTTAGGAATGACTTTCCTTGCACAATGCTCTCCTCAGGGCACCCTTGACCTCTGCATTCCTAAGGCTGTAGATTGGGGGGTTCAGCATCGGGTTGAAAAAACTGTAAAATAGAAAAAGGACCTTCCTCTGCTCCTCAGGATGGGGGGACTTGGGGGCCATGTACATGACGATGGCACTGCCAAAGAAGAGCCCCACCACCCAGAGGTGGGAGGAACAGGTGGAGAAGCCCTTTCTGCGGCCCTCCCCAGACTGGATCCTCAGGATGGCCGCCAGGATGCACCAGTAGGAGATCAGCACGAGGCAAAGTGGCCCCACCAGGATGAACACAGAAGCAGAAAAGATGACCATCTGGTTGAGCCAGGTGTCAGCACAGGCCAGCCTGAGGACAGACAGGATTTCACAGAAGAAGTAGTTGATTTCATGAGGCCCACAAAAGGGCAGTCTTAGGATGAAGCTCACATGGACCAGAGCCAGGAGGGAGCCACACACCCAGGAAGTGACCGTCAGGGTGACGCAGACTCTCCAGGTCATGATGACGGAATATCGGAGAGGGTGGCAGATGGCCACGTACCGATCACAGGACATTACCACCAGGTGGAGACATTCTGTATGTGCAAAACTCAAAAACAGAAACATCTGTGTCATGCAGCCAGCAAAGGAGATGGGCTTGGCTGGAAGCAGGAGGTTCACCAGCATCTGCGGCACCGTGTTGCAGGCGTAGGCGATGTCGACGAGGGCCAGGTGTGAGAGGAAGAAGTACATGGGGGTGTGCAGTCTGGAGTCCAGCCAGATGAGCCCCAGGATGGCCCCGTTCCCCAGCAGGGTGAAGATATAGAGCAGGGAGGAGAGCCCAAAGAGGAGCATCTGAATCTGTGGGCTGAGGGGAAATCCCAGCAGGAGGAACTCTGTGACCATTGTCTGATTTTCCCTCATTCCCTGTGAAAAAGAAATAGATCGCTTAAGACCAGATTGTCAAAAAACACCTAGACATTATTTTATGAATTTAGTCATTTTTAAAAGATAAACTTTTAACATTAATACTTAGCTACACATTAAGTTAATCACTGATTGTAAATATCCAATGTTACAGAAGGGAGTGTGTCACCAATGACAGGATACCTAGAGCCATTAACACATCATGGGAAGAAAGAATGTCATACCAAAAGTGGAAGTAAAATGACCATCTAATAAGGATTGTTTTGAAGCTGCACATATAAAAATTCCTACAAGAATTCCAGACGTTTAGAAATAATCAGTAATAGAAGAACTCCCAATATGGGAATGAGAGTAGTCCTAGAAAAAAAGATGATGTAATCCCAGTTTCTCAGTAGAAATATCAACTGTTTTGCTTTCAACATCTGAAATCAACCTTTGCATGCTGGAGCAGTTTATATAATAACAGAAGACGCAGAAAGATAAAAAGCAACTTTAATGATATTGTGATTGTTTGGGTTCCTAAGAAGAAATTAATGGATGTGCTACAAATGGGTTCTAATTGCAATCTTCCTTTTACAATGGGTCATAAACAGGAACTAAAAATTGATGATTTGGCAGTTAATCTACTGATTGATTCACAGTTACTGATTTACCAAAAACTGGCTTTGAATAACAACTCATACAATATGTAGAAATTAGATTTTTCAGGGCTAGTTTGTACATACATATCATTTAAAGGACTCACAATGCCTGAATGTTATGTTTGCCAATGGGTTATATTTAATTTCTTTTTTAGTCTCTCTCTTTTCACTTTTGCAAAGCCTTTGGTAAATTTAATCCATTTGAGTTTAAGTAAGATGTTCTTTGCACTATGTAGAATGAAACAAACTATGGGGAAAAATTAAAATGAAGTATCTTTCAAAGTACACCAGAAATGACCATTCATAAAAAATTAACTGTGCTCCTGTGACATAAGAATTGCTAAATACTTTACACATGGCTAACTAAAACATGTTTTTGCAAAGAGCTAATTTAGTGACTTCATTATTCTACATATTATTATGGCAATAAACTGTCAGTCAGGTAATTGGTATTTTGTGAATTGGTGATGTGCCAAATAATATTTGGGTTTTTGTCATTAAGTCCTAAGTAACATTTTCCTCAATATACCATGTAGAGGCCGGGCGCGGTGGCTCACGCCTGTAATCCCAGCACTTTGGGAGGCCGAGGTGGGTGGATCACGAGGTCAAGAGATCAAGACCATCCTGGTCAACATGGTGAAACCCCATCTCTACTAAAAATACAAAAAATTAGCTGGGCATGGTGGCGCGTGCCTGTAATCCCAGCTACTCAGGAGGCTGAAGCAGGAGAATTGCCTGAACTAGGAGGCGGAGGTTGCAGTGAGCCGAGATCGCGCCATTGCACTCCAGCCTGGGTAACAAGAGCGAAACTCCGTCTCTCAAAAAAAAAATAAATAAAATAAAAAATATATATATGTATATATATATGTATATATATATATATCATGTAGAAATTCAGTATTTTTTAAGTGCAAATGTTTGTCTTAGTGCCTATGCTAGGCAAAAATAAACTGAGGCTAAGCCATTGAACCTGTACCTGCTTATCTGTAAAGAAAAATCTTCTCCGGGATTCATGTAAAGAAAGGTAGGCCGGGCGTGGTGGCTCACGCCTGTAATCCAAGCACTTTGGAGGCCAAGGCGGGTGGATCACCCGAGGTCAGGAGTTCAAGACCAGCCTGACCAACATGGTGAAACCCCGTCTTAAAAAAAAAAAAAAAAAAAGGAAGATACTATTTTTGATGAGACCCTGGTCCAGCTGTCATTGGAGCAAAGACATGGAATCAACTTAAATGCCCATCAATGATAGACTGGATAAAGAAAATGTGGTACATTTACAACATGGAATACTATGCAGCCATGAAAAAGAATGAGATCTTGTTCTTTTCTGGACATGGATGGAGCTGGAGACCATTATCCTTAGCAAATTAATGCAGGAACAGAAAACCAAATACTTAATGTTCTCACATATGAGCATGAGTTAAATGATGAGAACACATACAGGGCACAGCACACATGGGGCCTATCAGAGAGTGAAGGGTGGGAGGAGGGAGAGGATCAGGAAAAATAACTAATGGGTACTAGGCTTAATGTCTGGGTGATGACATAGCCTGTATAACAAACTCCAAGACGCACGTTTACCTATGTAATAAACCTGCATTTGTATGCCTGAACTTAAAAAATTAAAAGAAAGTTAAAAAATCATCTAATTGGAACCTTGAAGAATGCTACCACTGGATCCTTTTCCAGTGGTAACAAATGATGGTATACTAATAAGCATTATGAATAAATTGTGGATTATTATCAGCAAGACACAAATAAATTATAGTGAATATTGCAACCTCATAACACATGACCAAGGCTTATATATTTTTTCCAGCATTCCATAAAAAATACTCTGCTAAGCCAACCTTCTAAATTTAGTTGGAAAACATTCAAAGCATATGAAAATATTTGGTTGTGAAATGCATTTGAATGTACATCTTATAAAAATCTTTATTTATTTTTTTGAGACAAGGTCTCCCTCTGTTACTTACCCTGGAATGCAGTAGTGTGATTACAGCTCACTGTAGTTTTAACATCTCAGACCCAAGCAATCCTCCCACCTCAGCCTCCCAAGAAGCTGGGATTATGGTACATGCCACCATATCTAGCTAATTTTTTTTGAATAAATATTTTTTGTAGAGACAATGTATTATGTTGCCCAGTGTATTATGTTGCCCAATGTATTATGGTCTCAAACTCTTGGGTTCAAGTGTGCCTCCCACCTTGGCCTCCCAAAGTGCTGGGATTATAGGCATGAACCACTATACCCAGTCCACATCTAATAAAATTCTTAATTTCTTTACTCAGTCCTTCATTACTTCCTTTTGTAACTTCCCAATGATTATACAAAGAAAAAAAAATCTGCTATGCCCAAGTATGAATTTCTTTGAAAGGCAAATGGAGAGTCAAGAAGAAAGGAGAGCTTAATGAAGACATTCAGATTATTTAAGGACAGTTGCCACATGGGTTGAAACTATGATTTCTTTTGCAGGACTGAGTTGTCAACACACTCCTTGTGAACAAGGAAAAGGTGCCCTTACTTTTGTATTCTGACAGTAAATATTTATTGTGTGAACAAATTAATAAATGCAAATGAATAAATGAATGCCTACTAGTTTTTTTTTTTTTTTTTTAACCATTCTTGGACTAAATCTGGAATGCTTGATACAAAGAACGTCTTACTTAAACTGAAATGGATTAAATTTCCCAAGAACTTCTTACTTAAACTGAAATGGATTAAATTTACCAAAGGGTTGGCAAAAGTGAAAGGAAAAACTAAAAAAAAAAAAAAAAATTAATAATTAATTATATATATATATATATATATATATGACCCCGTTGCAAACATAACACCCAGGCATTGTGGATAATCTCAAATCTTTTGGCTTCCCTGGGCCACACTGAAAGAAGGCATCGTGGCACATGCCTGTAGTTCCTATGTTGCCCAGGCTGGTCTCAAACTCCTGGCCTCAATAATTGTCTTGGGCCACACATAAAATCCACTAACAGTGGCTGACAAGCTTAAAAAAAAAATCACATAATGTTTTAAGAAAGTTTATGAATTTGTGTTGGACCACATTCAAAACTGTCCTATGGGCTGCAGGTTGCTTTAAATTATATGTATATATATGTTAACCATTTAAAAATTTGGCAAATTATTTAGTGACTAAGAAATTAATGGATATCTCCATGGTTTCTAAGTAAATATGTTAAGACTGAAACCATTTCTTTACACATGACCAAACCTGTCTACTTCAAAAGGTAAAACTTAACATCTGATGAGCTGACAAACTTCTAATGAGTCACACAACATTGTTAAAATGAAAGCTATTTTTACAGCTTCAAGTCAAATAAAATTTCACATTGTTTAATTCCAAGAATCAGAAATATTTGAGGCTGGACGCGGTGGCTCATGCCTATAATCCCAGCCCTCTGGGAGGCTGACGCAGGAGGATTGCTTGAAGCCAGTAGTTTAATACCAGCCTGGGCAACATGGTAAAACTCTGTCTCTAAATAAAAAGTAAAACAAAAATGAAAAAACAAAACAAAACAAAACAAAAACTAGCTGGGCATGGTGACACATGCTTGTAGTTCTAGTTCCTTGGGAGGCTGAGGCAGGAGGGAGCTTGAGGTTGCAGTGAACTTTGGTAGAGCTCAGGAGTTTAAAGCTGCAGTGAGCTATGATAGAGCCATTGCGCTTCAGCCTGGGAAATAGAGTGAGACCCTGTCTCAAAAAGAAAAAGAAAAAGAAAAAAGAATATTTGTTACAACTAATAACACTCATAATCTTCCTTTTATATATATATATATATATTGGGACAAGGTCTTGTTCTGTCCCCTAGGCTGGAGTGCAGTGGTGCAATCGTGGTTCATTGTGACCTCAGCCTCCCCAGGAACTGGCGGTTCTCCCACCTAGCCTCCCCAGTAGCTGGGATTACAGGTGTGCTGTACCATGTCTGGCTACCTTTTTTAAAAAACTTTTTCATAGATAGGGTCTCACTGTGTTGCCCAGGCTGGTCTCAAATTACTGCCCTCAAGCAATCCTCCTGTCTCAGCCTCCCAAAGTGCTGAGATTATAGACATGAGCCACTCCAGCCAGCCTCAAATATTCTTATTACTTGGAAGTAAACCATCTACTACTCTATCTGACCTAAGGATTTAAAAATAGCTTTCATTTTAAGAATATGATGTGACTCATTAGGAGTTTGTCAGCTCATCAGATCTTAAGTTTTGCTTTTTGAAGTAGACAGTTTTGGTCATGTGCAAAGAAATGATTTCAGTCTTACCGATTTACTTAGAAATCATGGAGATGTTGGATAATTTGTTAGTCATCAAATAGTTTGCTAAATTTTTAAATGGCTAACTGGTACATATATATCATTTCAAGCATACCCAATGCCTGAATGTCATGTTTACAACTGGATTATATTTAATTTTGTTTTTAGTCTATTATTTCACTTTTTCTAATCCTTTGATGAATTTTATCCATTTGAGTTTAAGTAAGATTTTCTTTGTAACACATAGATTGAAAGAAACTATGGGGGTGGGTGGAGAAATAGAAATGTCTTTCGAGTATACAGATTATATTAGGCAAGATTTAAGCAAGCCAGAAATTCCGGATTCAGTCCAAGGATGGTAAAACAACAAGAACAAAAATAAAACAACAATAAAAAATTCATTCAAAAGGCATTCATTCATTCATTTGACTTATTGATCTAGTAAGTGATTAAAAAGGTTAAATACATTTGACCATATATTGTGCATGGTAGGTGTTCAATAATTATTTATTGACTAACTAGATATCAATTTGATTAAATATGAAGAAGCAAGACATTAATGAGCCCTCCACATTCTGCTGTGAGTCAGGTTCTCAGGCAGAGTAAACAATGAAAGAAACTATAAAGAGCAATTAAAGAGCCATGGGCTCAGTGGTCAGATGCACATTTATTAATTATGTGACCTTGAGTATGTATCTTAACCTCTCCAGGTTTGTTTCCTGTTTATTTTTTTTTTAAAGGAGAAAAGTGATAGTACCTATTTTATGAGATTGTTGTGAAGATTAATTGAGATGATATGTGTAATACATTGAACATATTCCTGGTATGCAGTGAACACTCAATAGCTGAGATCAATTATTATCAGTCTTTAACAATTTCTTGGGTAGCCTGTGATTGTATGAACCTGAGAAGCATTGCCTCTTCATGGTTCACAATAATCCTTAAAACCATTCATTGTATTGGCCATGATCCTCTAAAGCTGATTTTGTAGTCTTGATTATAGCAGTGTCAGTCAACCTGTTAATTTTATGGATGATGTATTCTTAATGTATTTAAATTTAGGATCAATGTTTATAACTTTGTTGCTTTCATGCAGTTACTTCTCCATCGTATAAAACAAAATTAGCTTAATTATATACTTACATTATTTGTGATATAGTCAAAGAAGTTAGCATGTAAGTTTCCCTCAAACTATCCCCATAGCAGAAAAATAATCAGCACATATTTAGAGAGGAGTGAATTTCCTTACCAATGTTTGTAGTAGATGTGATTTAACCAAGACTAGGAGCTAAAACATGTCTGGGAGGAATTCATGGTAAAGTAAGCAAAGGCAATCTGGTTAGCTCCCACATTTGGACTCAAGGATCTCAGAAGTGGGAAGCACATGAAGGTTTCTGGGAGTTTCTGTGAGAGCTGCAGAATCTTTGCTTCTATTTCTGATTGAAAATGTGTCAGAACCCTCAGAAAAGGTGATGTTATTCTCTGATGGGCTCAACCTGGTTAACAGCTGAGGGATCACTGGAGGAATGGGCCATGAAACCTCCCGCATGCCCACCTCCTTGGGGAAGGAGGAACAAGGCAATTGTCTTTTTCTATTTCTGTTCTCAACTCCAGCAGGATGAACAATTAAGAAACACAGACAGCCACAGAGCACACCTCTGAGACAACATCTCTCATTACAGTCCCGGAATGCTTGGATTTCATGAATCCCACACTGCCCTTGTTCTCTAGTCTCCAGATGGTTCAAGGGAGCCTGTCAGGAAGCAGGACCAGTGTGACAATGAATAAGCTCCTGGTGGGCACCTCTGTAGCTCAGCCTCTCCCTAATGTAATCTAGGTTATTTGTATTGCAGCAGAAGTAGGAAGAAAGGACCCTGAAAAGTTAACCAATTCCAGGTGACCCTCTGAGGTACAGACATGCTTTGGGGAACTGGTGAGGGAGGCACAGAGCAGATTGGGGAGTCCACGGAAGGGCCAAGGTGTCCCAGTGGGGCTTATTAGAGCCTACCTGAAGGGAGGGTCTCCTAGGGCACAAACCACCACCGTAGATCATGTCTTAGAATTATTCTCTAATCTTTATTCTGAAAGGGGAGAGTGCTGGATTTGGAACACGCCTCAGGAAGAGACACGACCCTTTCCAAGGTGGCTTCACTAGAAGCTACTACCTCTCTCTGGAGGGTAGAGATATTTGCCAGTCAAAGGTATTCTCATGTTCATTTCTGTTTCTTTCTTCTACTGGACATAGGAGGATTATGAATTTTATTTTAAGCAATTATGCAATTTACAAACTAATGAGTTTATTACAATGTCAACTTTGATCTGCTGGGGTTACGGAATAAACCCAAGGAAAATCTTTCACAGGTAATCAGGGTGTGAGAACATGCTCATCTGTGTTCCAACTGTACATGTCCACAGTGAATTGCTTTGGGGACACACAGAAATGCTCCTAATCACATGAAAAGTCTAGTGCCTAGTAGACTATCCATAAACATTAGAATCTTTTCTTCTTTCTTTTTCTTTTCACACCCTGGTGAAGTGCAACTGATATAAATGACAAAAAGCCTATGAAACTGTAGACAAAAAATTCTACAATTCTAGAACTTTTTTCTATATTCATCACCATATGAACATCAATTATAAAAAGGCATTTTAAGGTAGAAAACAAAAAACGTGAGTTAAAACAAGTTAAATAGGAGATTTTTATGATGCCAAACAAACAAATTTAGGAAACATATCACCTCAAAGTACGTGTTTCATCACATATCAAGTTGAAGCAGCTTTCGCTTCTAAAAATAGTCAGAATAAACATATACAAAATATAAAACTATACGAAGGAAAATAACACAGAACAGTCCAATCTAAATAGAAATGAATATGCTCACAAATGTTTGCATGAAATGCAAAAATCAGTATGCAGAAATCAGGAAACTGCCTTTCAGGAGCAAGAAGTAGACTGAAAGCTCTGTGAAGAATGTCTTTAGAGAATTCATTTCTTTATAATGAACACCTTAGGAACATTGGTTATAAACACACATTTGAGGGTATAAAAACTTAGAAAATAGTAAGTAAGTATAACATTTGGGAATGTCACACAAACAAAAACTTAGAAAAACCCTTTAGGAACATAAATATCAAAATTTTCAATATTCTGTTAAACTGAAATAGCTTTTATCTTGAAGAGTGTAAAAATGACACAAAAGCATAGGAAAGAACTCAGCACACACAAATGACACAGCCAATATTAATTGAAATGAGAAACATTTACATGATCTGCTAGCATTGGGCATTGGTTTCACTGGACATTTATAACTTCTATGCTTAAAGTACTTGTGGAATTTGACCACAGAGTTCATTTGAGAGTAATACAAACAAAAGCTAACATAAGATGGGTGGACTTAGCCACCTTGCAGAGTAAATTATCATAAGAGATATTTTATAAAAGAGCAGCTAATAATGTTGGGAGAAACAGCCAAGACATAGGTAAATGTATCTTCAGGATGGCATGACAGAAATGGAATGAGAGGAGAGTGAAAATGCTAATGTTCTCAATTATATTTCATGAATAATTATGAGTTTAAGGGCAGAAGTTCATTTGAAATCCTTAGACACAGGGAACAAAAGAGAAATAATTGTAAGGACTTACTTTTAGGGTTTGTTTCAGCTGCTAGTGTCACCTTAAGTAAGACATATTCCTTAATAGATGCGGGGTCTTCTTTCCATGCACGATTGTCTCTGGACTTAACTGCCAGTTAATTCAGCTCATTTTTCTCAAGCTTTAGTTAATCATGGGTAGAAAAGACTCCTTAGGGCCAGGCTGAACCTCCATGCTTGGCCTTCCTGTCACTGGCTGGAAGTGAAGGTCTACAAGGCCTTAGAATGATGGGACCCTGTGATGGAAGGTGCCTGGGTCCCTGCGTCACCAAATGGAAGGCTATCTCTCCTACCTGCATAGGACTTTACATGAGCAAGATGTAAACTTTTATTTTGTTAAATCACTGCGATTTGGGAGTGTACATGTTGCCGTTTATCCTAAATAATACATTATTTAACATCATTATGGCAATGAGAGGAATGAGGAAGTGCTAATAACTCTAAAACTAAAGTATTAGGCACTCTTAGGATCAATTCGTATTATAAAAAGCATCAAATTATGACATGAAATATTGGCTTTTTGCTTATGTCATGCAGTTGTCTTAGGGTCTGAGAAATCATGGTTTATTTTGTGTGCTATTTGGTTTCTTATTCAAATTATTTTAATTGGTAACATAGGTTAACTTCCTTAAACATTGTAGCCTAATATTGAATAATAATATAAGTAATACAAAATGATATTTTTGAGGAAACACTTTGATACAATTTAGCACAATCCAACAAAATTCTAAACTGCTATTAATAATTGCTTAATTTAATTTTGGCTTTTACTGAAATATATGAGAAATGTCTACTGTTCTAAGAACTTAAGGGGCCAGAAGTTTTTTGAGGAAATGCTTTTTGAACATGTTAACACTAATACATGTTTCCTGTAATATTATCGAAAAACATAGAAGTGTTTATTTCTCATAGCTTGCTCCTCTTCCTAAAGCAACTTCTGTTGACTACTTAATGTGTTATCATTGCAGATCATGAAATTAAATACAGATATATGTAAACACACATGTGCATACATACGTACTCACATACACATATATAGGTGTATGAATTTATGTATAGCTAGGAGACTTCCCTGCACAAATGTGAATGCATTATAAAAATGTTACTTGCTTTCTTCATTTAGCTATATATTTGATGCGCTATTTTCATTGCAGCTTATTATATATAATACTTGTTCAATTTAATAGCTGTTTTACATATTTTTCATAGTTTACTAATTTCAAAATTAATTAACACTTGATCTTTTGAATTTTTGAAATCAATTTAATATAAAATCCATGTAGGCATTTCTTTGTGCAGTTACATGTGTAAGTATTTCTGTAAAATGGATTCTTAGAATTAGTATGCATGTTTTAAATGTTGAGTAAATAATTTTAGGTTTTTTTTCTTGGAGTTCTTCCTTTCTTTAAAAAAATTATACTTGTAAGTTCTGGGGTACATGTGCAGAACGTGCAGGTTTGTTGCATAGGTATACACATGCCATGGTAGTTTGCTGTACCTATGAACCCATCATCTACATTAGGTATTTCACCTAATGCTATCCCTCCTCTAGCCCCCCACCTCCCAACAGGCCCCAGTGTGTGATATTCCCCTCCCTGTGTCCATGTGTTCTCACTGCTCAACTCCTACTTATGAGTGAGAACATAACGGTGTTTCATTTTCTGTACTTGTGTTAGTTTGCTGAGAATGATGGTTTCCAGCTTCATCCATGTCCCTGCAAAGGACATGAACTCATTCTTTTTTCTGGCTGCATAGCTAAAACAAGTTAAATATAAGATTTTTATGATGCCAGACAAACTAATTTAGGAAACACATCACCTCAAATTATGTGTTTTATCACATAGCAAATTGAAGCAGCTCTCATTTCTAAAAATGGTCAGAATAAACATATACAAAACATAAAACTATATGAAGAAAAATAACACAGAGAGAAAAGTCTGATCTGTGTTCTTTTCCTATGGTGTATATTTGCCACATTTTCTTCATCCAGTCTATCATTGATGGGCATTTGGGTTGGTTCCAAGTCTTTGCTATTGTGATTTTTAAATCCAAAATTTGTGCCTATTTATATCTCCAACAATGTGTGAGTGTCATCAACATCACATGTAACACCTTTTTCACCTCACAATCTGTTGAGTAAAAAATGATATCTCATCTTAAAGTAGATTTCCTGATTGAGGTAGAAGACATTGCCATATTTATTGGTATCCTGTGTTTATTTTGTTGTCTGTATTTACATATTTTTATCCATTTTTCTCATGGATTTGTGTATTACCCTTTTGGTTTTTTCATATGTGTTAAAATGTATTAGCTGCATTACTATCCCATTTCTTATGATGAAATTTCAGGCCAGTCGAAAATTCAGGCTTGTTTTTCTCAAGCTTTAGTTAATCATGGATGGAAAAGACACCACAGGTCCAGGCTGAAGGAGAATGGTATAACTTAGTCAAATAGTTACAGACATGGTCTTTGGCCTGTGGAACACCTAGAGAAAAGTCCTCGTGTGCCACCTAATAGCTGTGTGAGGGGTACTTAATATCTCGGTGCCTTGATTTTTTTTTTCATGTATAAGTTGTCTAATAGTAATACTTCCCTCTGGCACTTGTTGTAAAGATTAGATTACATATGAATTCGTATGTGTAAAACACTGTTTGATATGGAATCAACAGTACTCAATAAATGCCAGGAATTAATATTATTATGTCACTTGTGCAATGCCAGCACACATGTACAGATCTGGGAAGCTTTGTAAATAAAAGTTATTCTTAATCTTTTTCAAATAGGGTAATGAAACTGTTTCCTTCCTTAGAGAGGACAGTTAATGTGAAACTTCTTTTGCTTTATTCTCTAAGTTTTATGCCATTCATAGTTCTTACAGCATTAATATATTGAAATAAGAAATTAATTTTGTGGTTACTCTTGAATTCCTGCTATTTTTGAGGCTCAGGACTTTGTTATATTCAATTCTCAAAAATTCCATTTAATTGTGTCTCATGTAAAAGAAAAACAACATACATTCTAGGAAGTTAATAAAAAGGCATAGAATTTGAGAACTAAAAGTAACTTAACAATCATCTAGTGCAACATTTTATTTTATATGTGGGAAGCCAATGCCCAGAGGAATTAAGTGACTTCTCTAAGGTCATGCAGTGAGTAAGTGGTAAATTGGGAAAGGAACCTGTAATTTTGTGAAATACATATTTGGTCTTTGTCCCCATTTCTTGGCATACAGTTTCTAAAACTCTTGGAATCCCGAGAGTGATGAGTATCTTTTATATGTTCTACGGTTTGAATGTATCCCCACCAAAGTTCATGAGTTGGAAACTTAATCTCCAGTGTAACAGTGTTGAAAGGTGTGACCTCGTAGAGGGGATTAGGTCATGAAAGCTTTGACTTCACAAATGAATAAGTGGTGTTGTCTCAGGAGTGGATTTATGTGGAGATTGGGTTAGTTACAAAAGCAAGTTTGTCCCTCTCTCACTCTCTAACCTTTCACCATGCAGCACGAAGGCCCTCTCCAGATGCGGACACCTTGATATTGGACTTCTCAGATTCCACAACTCTGAGAAATGAATTTCTATTTTTAATAAATAACCCAGTCTGTGATATTCTGTTATAGCAACACAAAGTAGACTTAGACATTATGCTAATGAGATGACTGCTGGCAAGGAGCTCCTAAATAACTTTAGGATAGAGGCTGGTTACCACAAAAACAAAGGCATGTTAGTGGGTTGAGACTTTCAGCCTATACCCCAACCTCTGGGGAGGGGAGAGGGCCTGAACTTTGAGTTGATCACTGATGGCCAATGATGTGATCAACCATGCCTATGTAATGAAGGCTTTACAGAAAACCAAACAGAGTTTGCAGACTTTCTGGATTGCTGAACACATAGAGTTTCCTAGAGAGGACATGGAAGCTCCATGCCCCTTCTCCCATACCTCACCAGATGCATCTCTCTCATCTAGATGTTCACCTGTATTCTTTGTAATATCCTTTGTAATAAATGGTCAAACATAAGTAGTGTTTCCCTGAGTTCTGTGAGCCATTTTAGCAAATTAATTGGACCTACGGAGGGGGTTCATGAGAATCCCAATGTATAGCCAGTTGATCAGAGGCACAGGTTGCAACCTGAGGCTTGCAGTTGCCATCTTAAGTGTTGGGTAAGGGGAACAGGCTTGTGGGATCTGACATTGTCTCCCAGTAGGTAGAGTCAGAACTGAATTGTTTTTTAGGGCATGTAATCGGTGTCCACTGCAGATTGCTAGGTGTGTGGGGAAAGAAAACGTCAACACATCTGTTGTTAGAAGTAAATTGTTGAGTGAATGTATGAGTAAAAGAGTAGGAAATCCAGCCTGGGCGACAGAGTGAGGCTTCGTCTCAAAAAAAAAAAAAAAAAAAAAAAAAAAAAAGGGCAGTGGGAGAAATACCTTTTTTGTTTTTTCAATCTTTCACAGAATGCCGATGTCCTGGCTCTGAGCCAGCTGTCTGAGGACCAAACCAGGGGCTGTGCCTAACAGTGAACTTCTTATCTTGACCCAACAGGATTACAAAAATTAAAAACAAAAAAAATAAATAGAGGTAAAAAAGTAAATAAAACCAAAGCAGCAAATCAAATGGAAGCAGGGTTTTTAATCAAAGTACATCAGGAAGGCAAGAAACATGGATATGGTCTGGGAAAATATCAGAGCTGTGAAGTCCTGTGAAGCAGCATTCAAACGCCTTTTTTGTTTTTTTCCCACTTTTTCTTTTCTTTTCTTTCTTTCTTTTTTTTTCCCTGTTGAGACAGGGTCTTGCTCTGTCACCCAAGCTGGAGTGCAGTGGCACAACCATGGCTTACTGCAAACTCAACCTCCTAGGCTCAAGCAATTTTTTCATCTCAGCTTTTGAAGCAGCTGGAACCACAGGTATGTGCTACCTCACCTGGCTAATATTTTTATGTTTGAAGGTTTTTGTACAGAGTTTCACTATGTTGCCCAGGCTGGTCTCAAACTCCTGGGCTCAAGCAATCCTCCTGCCTCAGTCTCCCAAAGTGCTAGACTACAGATGTGAACCATTGTGCCTGGCCATCACTTTTTCTTAGGAACCAGAAATTTAACAATGAGTCTCTATATCATTAATATTCAAAGTGTGGTCTGTGGATCTGCAGCATCAGCAAGCTATGAGAGATAATAATAAATGCAAATCTCTGCCTATTTCATTTAGACCTGTTGAATCAGAAACTGTATTTTTACAACATCCCTGAATGATTAATATGCACATTGACATGTGAGAAGCACTGGTCTACACTACCTGGCAAAGAGTAGAGAATAGTCCTACAGGTCAGTGATGGCAGTGCTCATTGTACATATCAAGGACACTATGGGGGACCAATTTAAGGTGGTGCATGAACTGACTTCCACTCCTAGAGTGCCATCAGTATCATTTTCAGTAATTACAGCACTTAATAATCTACCCTTTTGCGAGAGAGAGGAGGAGAACACTCACTCCATGGCTACTCTGCCAGCATAATCACTTTGGTGTCATACTGTAACCATAGGGTTTGGCAGTTTGGCACACTCTTTTTGAAAGACCCCATAACCTTTGTTCTATATAATAAAAATAAATATATATCATCCTAGTTTTTAAATATTAACCTCACAATATCTTCTCTGAATATGTTTACAATTTCTCTGTGGCCATTGACAAATGAGATGTAGTAATTAATATTCATCTCAGAAGAAACTTTTGCGAAAACTGAATATATCTGGAGCTAAAAGTGATTAAATTGACAACAAAATGCCTAATGCCACTGTATTTAATTACATATTTTATGGAGATCCTATTTTAAAAATACAGAAGTGTGGACTACATGATTACTCATTTATTTAGTTAGTTAACATATATTGAGTAACCACTATGAAACTGGCCTGGTCTAACCACTGAAGATACAAATATCAATAGGCCCTTTCCAAAAGAATGGCTGTCAGTTAATCTAGAGTAAATTGACTGCATTACAGTTCTGTATCTGCCACTTGATATTTCTGTGACATTGAGTAAATTAATTAAATCTCTAAACCCCAATTTCCCCTCTATAAATGAGGATATTATTATTATTTAATTCACTTAAGTCATGAATGAATATCAGTATCTAAACCGTAACAAAAAGCTAGAGAATGCCTTATATGACATCACAAGAAGAAAATTGTGAAACAGCAACTTTTATGGCAATGTTTTGAGTTAGGGAGAAGGAAGGAGAGAGTAAATATATTTATAGATAATGATATTTATGATAAGATATATACCTACATCTATGTATATAGACACACATATACTTGTACATTATATATATGTATACATGTATCTAAAATGTATATTATTGTCTTAGAAAACAGAAACCAACTAACATTTGGCAAATTGACAACTAGTTAATTGCAATAATTCACAGAGGTATTAAATTCACCACACAATTTTTCTAATACAATCCATATGGTTTAAGAAAATTTGTGTTTCATCAGGAGCCCAGTATTAGTAGTCTAGCCTCTGTGTGCATCTGTAAATGTGTGTGTGTTTTCATATGCTTTCAGGAATTCGGAGCATGGGTATTTTAGGTGCTAAAATAGTAGCACTATTCCCATGCACTATTAGTACAGACCTCCTTTTCTAGATGTTCTCAAGATAAGAAATCTGTGAATGAAGGAAATAAAAAGGTCATAATCTGGAATGAAATTGAGGAAGAAATACTTCCATCTTGCTGTTAATTCAGTCCTTCATATTTGTAACAATCACTAAACCTGAAATCCCAAATGCAAGAAATTATTATTTAAATTGAAAAAAAGGTAGCTGACTTCAGCAACAAGAATTGCAATGTACTTTATAAGTAACCAATAGAAAGAAATTATTGACAAATTGATAATTCAGTTTGGCACTTGACAAATGGTAGCATCAACAAATTAGCAGTAAGATGCTTAGGCTGTGAATTGGTGGTGTACTGAATAGATGAATTTGTCTTTTCGACCTTGGATCTTCGATCACAGTTTTCTTAATGAACTCCAACATGGCTTCTGGTGCAAATATTTGTCAGTTCCATTGCAAGAACAAAATAACTTGAGGCTTAGCTACTTTGTTGTGATTAAAGTGAGGAAAAGCACTGTTTTTGGCCAGTCCCTAGTTTAATTGTTGTCAATACCAATGGGAATATCAAGAAGTGTTCCTTGGGGATATAAGAGACAGACTTGCATTCTGAGAAGTAAATTTGTGAAACCCGCATGTAACTGATGACAATAACAATCTAGAGATGAGAAACACGACACTGTCAGGAAACGTGAGTGGAGAGTTTGAGGATCCTCCAGAAGGCCACTCAGCGTGCTTTGATGAAATCTCTGGGAGGCAAGGCAGAAGAATGTGATTCATTCAGTGAGCCCAAGTGTAGTCAGTTGCATGGCGTGCCTGTCCGGTGAAAGACTGCAGGAAAAAGAAGGCAGTGACCAACACGGAGTGTAGTCATCAGGCCAGAGCGGGAGCACTGGGCAATGCATCCTTAATGACATTCAGAGTAAGGAAAAAAAAAGAACCAATTGTACCAGGATCCTAGTCACACAGGTTCTGTGTCTACAGTCTGACTAGATGGTTTAGGTAGTCAGTAATCAATAGCCCTAGCTAGTAAAATCTCTAATTAGCCCCTCTTGCTCTGAATTCATATTCATTAATCAACTGTTAGGTAATAATTTATCTTCTGGAGCAGTTATTTCTACAAAGAAGAAATGTGTTGAGTGGCAAAGTTCTTGGCTCGTTTTGCAGTCACATGTTGAAGTTTAAACGAACATTTAGGTATTTTGGCTTACACATTTTCCTCTTTTACTTTTGGATAGTAGGATGCAGTTCCTGAACAAAATTCCCAAAGCTGGATCTAAAATGTGAGGACCAGACTCTGGGTCAAGGAAACCTCATTGAAGCTAGACTTGGGGAAAGAAACAGATTCCTTTCTAACAGCAACAGATGAGATATCTATTTTCTTGTAAGCATTATTGTTAGGTGGTCATGTTACCTTAACACAAAAATAATCCAAACAATAGATTTAAAATTCCTCACATGTGAACAGGACTTATTAGATTTTAGGTTGATAGCAAAACTTTCTCACGAGGTGCAGTCACATGCACCTGTAGTCCCAGCTACTTGGGAGGCTGAAGCAGGAGGGTCGCTTGAGCCCAGGACTTCCAGGCCAGGCTGGACAACATAACAAGGCCTCATCTCATAAAATAAAATAAAAAATGTCTGTGTTTGTCAAACTTTCTAAATTTATTTTTTAACTCATAAGGCATAGAAAAATATTTGACTGTGAAAGATGTATTCAAACCCACCCACTTATAAAATAGTAATTTTCTTTCTCAATTTTTCATTTCCCTCAAGGGGAAAATAAAGGAAAAAAGGAACACAGTAAAAGCCATGATTTTTTGAAGCCAGCTGAAAGACAGATGAAAAAGAAGGAAACTAAGGTACCTGATGTTTTAAGTATTTTTTCAGAACAGCAGTCCTGTTTGATTCAGTCTTGATTTCTTTTAAAGAAATGGAGTAGGCATGTTCATTTTTATAGCCCTTTAATTGTGTATATTAATATGCATTTTTCAAATGACAAATACATAAATATAAGTAAATGAATTAATAACTAAGTATTGATGTCCTTATATTAGTTTGGTTCCTTTTATATTATAGTCTAGTATAATTATGCCAAGTTAAGCCCCTTCCTCCCAAAGGAAATAAGATACTACAATTTAGAAGAATTTCATCCCTAATAATCTATATTAAAATGAAAATTTAAAAATGTGACAAGAACAATGGGAGGATTCATAAAGTGTTTAAACACTTGAATTTTGAATTACTTCTCTTTTATTTATTTTTTCTTATTTTATTTGATACCTATGTAACATACTTAATGTTAATTAAAGACAGTCAAGAGGAAACCAAACAGATTAAATTTCTAGGGGGTTGGAAGGAGTGGAGTGGGTGGCTTTATGCTGCCTTCACACACATTCTAATTCCAAATGTAGCTTTCAGGCATAGAGATGTACATTAATTTATATATGCACAATTTCAGAATTTAAAAAATGGCAGATTATCTGGTTAATAAATGGTAAGAAAACTAAAATGTTAAAGTAAATCTCTAAGTAGGCAGTTGTTTCTTTATATGTAAGCAAAACAGCATAACTTTATGGAACCTGCATTTTAAAAAGCAAATCTCAAAGTTTAATGATCTGACAGGTTCTTTTCTAAAGTCTTGGCCATGGATAAAGCGGAATCCCTAATCACCTACAGCTAATCTGTAGCTCAGCTGAGTTGCAGGGCTGTTTACTTGTAAGTAACAAGGGAAAATTGAAAACTAATTTATCTTATTGCTTACATAGTTATAAGCACAGACTTTGCAAAGTTATGGAGTCAGAGTTGATAATGTAAGTAATTTTTCTGGATATAAGAACTATCATGGACCATGAAGAACTGAGTGTCAGTTTCATGTAACTACAGTCTATTCAATAATCTGCTAAAGGTTGATAACAATTGATGCTACTCTTTAGTGCTTCTCGTGAACTGGGCACTGTAGAAGCGCATAGTATAGCAAGTTGATGGTTCTGAGCTTGTGAAGATTTCATTATGAAGATGTGCTTCAAGAGGAAAAGCAAAAATAAATAAAAAAGTAGACATTAAACAACAATCCTCTAAAAGAAAATTTAAAGTATTAATGATGACTTCGTCTTCCTAATTTGTTACCCACCGCCTACACCTCAGTCCCTTTCCTGTACTCTTTCCATGCGTGCCACAAAAACTTCTCCAGTCTATGGGAAATCTAATATTCATTCCAATTTATTTAGTACATTCCAGGTGCCTTATGCCCTCTTCAGTGCTATGCTTAATGAAAGGTATGACATAGATTTAGCATCCATTTGGCTTTATATTCTATTGCAATAAATATATTCTCATAGATAAGCATGTATTGTGACTGTACTGACAACAATTAAATGTGTAATTTATAAAACAGCTGACATGTATTAATTTTCCTGAGATATAACATCTTTCCATAATATATTGTACTATACTTTGGTTGGGAAAATTATTTCATACATTTTATCAAAATCTAGAAAAAAGCAATTTCTGAATTCTTTTGTGAGTGTCATCTTTCCCAAATAAATCTCTATCACATAGAAACTTCTCCACCAAAGAAACATATATAGCCAAGTCCTAAGCACTTTTTTTCTTCTTTTTTTTTTTTTGGTAGAAAGTGATTTATTTGGAGAGAGAGAGAGAGAGAAACAGGAGAAGGAGAGAGAAAGAAACAGCTAACTCTCACGCTGAGTGAGAGAACCGAGAAAGATGGAATCCAGGAGAGGAAAGCAGCTTCCACACTGAGTGGAAAGGAATAGCAAGAGATGGAATTTAGGAGGGGAAGGCAGGCTTCCACGAGAGAGTGTGGAAGAGGACCCCAGAGGGGCAATCCAGGAAAGAGACCTAAACACTTTTACATAATTTACACATCACATGTGCATCTATTTTTTCCCCTGGAACCATTGATATATAATGTGAATGATGAGCATATAGGTTTAGCATTAAGAGAAATAATTTACTTCTCTTGCCAATACTTAATAAAAAGTGTCAGTAACAGTGAGAGTTAACCAAAACCTAGGAGCTACAACACGTCTAGAGAGAATTAATGACAAAGTAAATAAAGGCAACCTGGTTAGCTCCCACATTTGGACTCAAGGATCTCAGAAGGGTGAAGCTCCAGAAGGTTTCTGGGTGTTTCTGTGAACCATCACTTCTGTTTCTGATTGAAAAAGTACCAGCATCCTCACAAAAGGAGGTATTATTCTCTGAAGGGCTGAATCTTATTGGCAGCCCAGGGCTCTCTGGAGGGGCTGGGCCATGAAACTCCTGAATGCCCACCTCCTTGGGGAAGGAGAGACAAAGCAATTGTCTTTTTCTATTTCTACTCTCAACCCCAGCAGGATGCACAATGAAGAAACACACAGTCACAGAGCACACCTCTGAGACAACATCTCTCATTACCATCCCGGAATACTTGGCATTATTTGAATTTCACGAACACCCACACTGCCCTTGTTCCCCAACCTCCAGATGGTTCAGGTGAACCTGTCAGGAAGCAGGACCAATGTGACAATGAATAAGTTCCTGGTGTGAACCTCTGTAGCTCAGCCTCTCCCTGATGTAATCTCGATTCCTTCTGTGGCTGCAGAAATGGGAAGAAAGGATCTGAAATATTAGCTGATTGCAAGTGACCCTCTAAGGTTAGAGAGGCAGGGAGCAGACGAGGGAGTCCCAAGTGCCCCAGTGGGGCTTATTATAACCTACCTGAAGGGAACGTTTTCTAGGGCACAAAACAACCGGTGCAAGTCCGCTGTTGGAAGTGTCCTCTAATCTCTTTGGTGAAATGGGAAGATTTTGAGTTCAGTTCCTCTCAGGAGTGGAAGAAAGAATCCTTTCCAAGGTAGCTTCCCCTAGCAGTTTCCTGCCTCTTGTGAGATGAGAAGATTTGCCGTCTTGAAACGTGGGTCTCGCGGAAGTCTGACCTGCAGACCCTGATTCAATGATGGATGAATGAATGCACTCCCACCATAGTGTTTCAAGTGGGCTAGGGAATGGCCACTGGCTGCTTTCAGAGGGCAAAATGCAACCAATGGACCCAGACTCTCTGTCTGTCCACACTTTTATTCATAACAGAGGTTCTAAGTTAACACACTTGTAGATAATTAACATAGTTAAAAGAATGGTTTTACAACTGATGGAAGCTTTTGGTTCTGGGGCCCAGAGTAAATGCAGTTAACAGGTAATCCCCTTTGATCCTTGGGAGAGACCACCCAGCACAAAATTAACATGAGTAAACGGAGTGGAGACAAATAGGTGTGGGATAAGGCCTTTTGATCAGTCTCTAATTTCCTTCCTATGCTAATGTTAATAAGTCTCTAATTTCCTTCCTGTGCTAACGTTAATCTGCCCCAGTAAAACCAATTGGCCTTCCAAAAGGTTTGAGATTACAAACTATGTCTTTCCTAACAGTTTATATATTTAATACCTTGCCAGCCGCCCCGAGTGAATAGCAAGACTGTCTAAGATATTATCATATTTATTTGTATTTTGCTGAGTTCTTCTACTGGACATAAGACAGTAAAAATGTTATTTGGAAATCTATCAATCAATCACGCAATTTAGAGAGTTGTTAGAAAAACTAGAGTTCTAACTCTGAGTTAGAAAAATTAGATTGATTTCAGTCAGTGGCAAACACAGGAAAATGTATACTGAATCATATTTCTTTAAATATCAAAATTAGAAGATTGTGAAGTCGAATGAGGTCATCTCCTGAAGCTTCTGTAGTAGGAATGCTGATCCATGATGAAGGACAGGGTTGGATTTATTTTCTTTAGACGATCCACCATTGAACAGTAGAGACAGGGACCCTTATGGTCTATATCCAAACAGAGCCCAGAATTTTACAGACTGATCGAGGCACAATGCTCAGATCTACATCTCTTTAGAGGCTCACTTTGCAAGGAAAAAAAAATCATTCTGCCCTCGAAGGTGGCTGCAGGAAGTATTCACAATGAGTCAATTAATATCCAGATCTCCTGTTCCAGGAGACTGTTAGTGTTACAAACGAAATTTTATTTGCTCACGTAAGTTTAGAAAACACTGGCTAAAAACTAGAATAGAATTATTCTTTCCTAGAGAAACTTTCACAGCGTTCACTGTTGTAATATGAATTGTGATTCCTAGACGGAGGCATCTGTTGTGAAATGAGTCTCCAACCTGTTTGACCACAGAACTTATTTTTAAAGTCCTCTGAAGGGACCAGTGTTTTGGAAAAGATTATAGGAGCTATGGGACTGGACCAAAGGCTAATGAAGATATTGTAAGGTGTATTGTCCTGGGGTGGACTAGCTGCACCACGATTTGAAGAGATCAATTTCTAGAATTCATCCCACATCTGCCAAATCAGTCATTTAAAGGTAGGGCAGGAAATAACTCCATTTTAAATAAATGTCTCAGATAATTCTCATGTCCATTGAGAACACAGGTCCCATCAGTACAGAGTTGGGTTAGGAGCCTCTCAAAGATGTAACTTCCTAAGTAACTGTCAATCACAATGCCATACATAATCTTTTCATAAAGCTGTTTCTACTCCCAGCACTCTCTTCAAAGTATTCTTCACTTCTGAGTTCCTAAGACTATAGATAAGGGGATTGAGCATGGGATTAAAGAGGCTGTGAAACAGCAGGAGATATTTCTTCTGCTCCTTGAGGTTTCCATATCTGGGTCCAACATACATGATAATGGCTGTGCCATAAAAGAGTCCAACCACACAGAGGTGGGAGGAGCAGGTAGAGAAGGCTTTCCTCTGACCTTCCCCTGATTGGATCTGAAGGATGGCACAGAGGATGCACATATATGAAACTAAAATTGAGGACAAGGGTCCCACCAGCACAGAAATTGCTCCGACCAAGACCATGATCTCATTGATGTGGGTATCTGCACAGGCAACTTTGAGAACAGCCATGATTTCACAGAAAAAGTGATTAATTTTCTGGGGCCTACAGAAGGGTAAAGGTAGAAGTAACACTAGATGAATCAAGGATAGAAGGACTCCGATGGTCCAGGAAGTTACCGCTAGGGTGATGCAGACTCTCCAGGTCATGATGGCAGAATATCGGAGGGGGTGGCAGATGGCCATGTACCGATCACAGGACATCACCACCAGGAAGAGACATTCTGTATGTGCAAAACTCAAAAACAGAAATATCTGCATCATGCAGCCAGCAAAGGAGATGGGCTTGGCTGGAAGCAGGAGGTTCACCAGCATCTGCGGCACCGTGTTGCAGGCGTAGGCGATGTTGACAAGGGCCAGGTGTGACAGGAAGAAGTACATGGGGGTGTGCAGTCTGGAGTCCAGCCAGATGAGCCCCAGGATGGCCCCGTTCCCCAACAGAGTGAAGATATAGAACAGGGAGAAGAGCCCAAAGAGGAGCATCTGAATCTGTGGGCTGAGTGGAAATCCCAGTAGGAGGAACTCTGTGATGGAAGTCTGATTTTCCCCCATTTCCCTGTAGAAGAAACAAAGGAGCTCACCAAGTCTGAATATCTGAGGCAAATGTTTAAACATTCTGTAACTGTACATATTATTGTTTGTTTCCTAAAAAAAACACCTTCAATGATATTTTGATCTTAGTTACTTAGTAAGAGAAAAATTATGCATTTAAAAATGAAGCACAAGGAAATTTTGTCACCAATGATAAATTCAATGTTAGTATGATATTATAGTATTCATTACATCTTATTTTCAGATCTACTTTCATCACAGTTTAAAATATGTTGATACTTAAATTGCCTTCATAGCATGGACTCTGTCCTCAGTTTGTGATGACTGTATCAGATGCTTGCCCCCTGTACTCCTTCACTGCAGGGTACTTATATCCATACATGTGGAAGTGTGCTGGTGTCTATGTCTATATATAAGGATAGAAAGAGGGATGAGGACCATGTTGCTGATTCTGCTATTCTCACCAATTTGAACCTTCATTACATGAGTTATTTGTTAAACTTGTGATTTTTGCTGATTGTATAATCTTGATTTAAGTTGAGGGAATGGCAGTTTGCCCTAACTTTGGCTAGATTTAAACAGAGATCTTTGTGTTTTGACTTTTGTACCCATAGAGGGTCTACTCTGTTTGTGTTGTCTTATGATCAGAATGTAGTTGCCTGTCACCTTCTTATACTACAAATGTGTATTTATTTTATTTGTATATTTTTTCTATTTTTTGCAAATTTATTTTTAATATTTTTTTAGTTGATACATAATAGATGTACATAGTTTTGGGGGTACATGTGATAATTTAATATACTCATTTAATTTATAAAGATCAAATCTGTGTATTTGGGCTGTCACCTTAAATATTTGTCTTTTCTTTTTGTTAGAAACATTCAAATTATTCTCTTCTACCTATTTTGAAATATGCGGTAGATTACTGTAAACTATAGTCACTCTTCTAATCTATTAAACACTAGGTCTTATTTCTTCTATGAAACCATACGTTTGTAATCACCTTCTCTTTATGATCCTTTTTTTGCTACCCCTCCTGGCATCTGGTAACCACCAATCTACTCTCTGTCTTCATGAGGTACACATTTTTACCTCCCACATGTAAGTGAAAACGTATAATATTTGTCATTCTGTGCTTAGCTTATTTAATTTAATGTAATGACCTCCAGTTCCATCCATGTTGCTGCAAATGACAGGATTTTATTCTTTTACATGGCAGAATAATATTCCTCTGTGTGTGTGTGTGTGTGTGTGTGTGTGTGTGTGTGTGTGTGTATATACCTATACATATATATATATATATCAATCACATTTTCTTTATCCATTTATTCATTAATGAGCACTTAGGTTTATTGCATATTTTGGTTATTGTGAATAGTGCTGCAATAAACATGGCTGTGAAGATATCTTTTTGATATGTTCACTTCCTTTCTTTTGGATATATAACCAGTAGTGAAATTGTTATATATCGTCTATTTATTTACATTTGGAAATTTCCAAAATTCTGCTATATTCCTATAGTAATAAATGTCTGCCCACTACATACATATGTGAGTATATATATAATTGAATCCTTACTCTGTGTAATGTACTTGTTTTCTATTTGATTCTAGTCTAATCTTTTCTGTTTCATTAGTAAAAATTCTGACTGAATGATTTCATGATGAGTCATAGCCTGGGATTTAAAAAATACTGATCTCTATCCAAAACTAGAGCTAAAACTCTAACCGTACACTTGTGTTCATAGAACGTTTAACATATTTTATAGCTTCTTAACTATCATGTATAAATAAATAACTACCTACTATTTATGGTGATTCTTTAGCTTTTAGTGGCCTATCAAATGTTTTAAAATTCTTCCAAAGCAAAGAGGGTATATTGAGGTTTGAATTATTGCAACTTCTAAATTATTGCTTCCATTTTTTGCCTGACTCTATAGCCTTCTTCAGTCCATAATCCATCTGAATTTCATTAAAATAAAAAAGAAAAATTCATAATTGAGTTTCTATCAATGAGTTCCCCATTCACATTTTCTGATGTTATTATTTGAAATATTTCATCAGCAAAAGTAAATAAGTTTTTGTCTTATTTCAAAGAAAGAATCATAATTCAATGTAGAATTTATTGGAAGGTGATACTATCTTAGTCAAGAAATAATTGATAATTATTGAAATTGCCTTCTTGAAAATTAGTAATTTTATCAGGAATGAAGTTGATTTCAGTGAATGTTTTAATTCATAGATTAATTAATCATCCATTCAAGATGGGATTCCTTTGTCATGTGAGAAGTTACACTAGAATAATGCCAAGATCCCTTCCAGCAATAGAATTCAGTGGTCCCAAAAACATAGAAAAGTGTTATTCATTTTCATTTCACCTTTCTTGCAATATTTGAGACCAATGAAGATAACAATGCTATTTCTAAAATTTCATATGATAAAGGCACACAATAAAGTAGCAGGATGAATGGTGTCACCTCATCTTCCCCCATCTCCAAGTAGCTAAATCACAAAATAAAAATCCACAGGTCTTAACTGAACATACGCTACATCCTGCTACGTGTGTTGGCTGAGGGCATGTAAGACTGTACTTGTTTGCTGCCACATGTAACCTGGTTGGATTAATAAGACTGTTAAAAAGACTCACAAATATGCCAGTAGAAGAAAGGAAATCGGTATATCAAAGAGATATCTGGACTCCTATGTTTGTTGCAGCACTGTTTACAATAGCTAATAACTGGAAACAACCTAAGTGTCAATCAACAGATGAATGGATAAAGAAAATGTGGTACCTATACACAATGGAGCACTCACTATTCATCCACAAAAAAGAATGAGATCTAGTCATTTGCAACAACAGGGATGGAAATGGAGATCATTATGTTAAATTAAATAAACCAGGCACAGAAAAACAAACATTGTATGTTCTCATTTATGGAAATTAAAAATCAAAACAATTGAACTCATGGACACAGAGAGTAGAAGGATGGTTACCAGAGGCTGAAAAGGGTAGCAGGGGTATTGGGAAGAGGTGGGGATCATTAATGTGTACAAAAAAAAATTAGAAAGAATGAATAAGACCTACTATTTGTTAGCAAAATAGGGTGACTACAGTCAATAATAACTTCATTGTACATTTTAAAATAACTTAAAGAGTATAATTGGATTGTTAGTAACTTAGAGGGTAAATGCTTGAGGGGCTGGCTACCTCATTCCCCACGATGTGCTTATTTTACATTGCATCCCTGTATCAAAACATCTCATATACCAGTAAGTATATACACCTACTATGTACCCACAAAAATTTAGGAAAAAGGGACTCACAAATTTGATAATTCTCATGTTTAAATAGCTCAGAAAAAGGAATTTCACGTTTGAAAATAAAGTCTTCAGGTTACTCTTCTAATTATGTAACATAAATTTAGTTTGCAGTCAATTGTTCTATAAAACCACTACTTAATTTCATGAGGCAATAGAAACTTTTACAAGCAACCCCCCACAAATAACTATTTTACCTTACAATTTAAACAAGAAATTCAATGCCAAATGTATCAAAATAAATTATCTACATTTGGTATATCTAAAAGAGAAAACTTTTAAATTTGTCTAGCAGCTAAGTCTATAAATTGCAGAAATTTGGCGTTAATGGATAAGAATTACATTTTGCATTGTGGCTTTTTATTACAGTCCATCTGAAATTATATAATAAATAAAGATTGGATAATATAAAAACTTACATCAGGCTTAACAACTAAAAATGAGAAAACAAGCTGGATATGAGTTAGGTAAAGCTTCACAAATTAGTAGAAAGCATCTGAGCTAGTGTTGAAACTCTTTCATTCCAAGATTATTGTGGGGGGGAAAAGTGCCCCAATGGAGGCTGGATATCTCTCAGAGGAGATGACTGTATTCTCTGCTTAGATCAACCATGTCTCCATCTGCTATGAAAGTGTGTTGCAGTGAAGGGATAAAGACCCATCATGCACACTGCCACCTGCTCCTGTCCAAGGGAAAGAGGCTCTCGCTGTACTTATCCCTCCAGTGTTCCCTGGAAGAATGTTCATGTGAAGATGTTGCTGCTGTTAATTTCTTCAGTCACTGTAGGGTTCATGATCAGAAATTTAAGAAGCAATACAATGACTTCCAGGAACTCTTCATACATTGCAGATTTCCCAAGCTTATTTTAGTTTCAGGAACTCCAAAATATCCCCACCTACTAAACTTCCAAATAGATTAACTTGTTTTGGGGGCAGGTGGAACCCATGTGGTATTCTCATCCTCTTTAATGAGGGCTGAATTTTATCTTCTGTGTAACCTGAACATGTATTCTAAATTTTTTTTCCATCAAGTCTCCACCAGGAATACAATTCCCAAAGTAGGACCAGGTAGCAAGAACTATAGAAGCTGTGGGGAACATGTTAAGGCATCAGAAAGAAGAATAAGGCATCCCAATGGGATTTGTTAAACCCTATTTTGTAAGATTTAACTAGAGCACAAACAAGGAAGGACACTTCCTACCAAGAAGCAATCCCCGTTCTTCAATTTCTGATGATTTTGAACACACGGGAAGTAGGAGGTGGAGTGAGAAAGAGCATGGTCCCTGAGGTCTGTGATTATTACTATTTTCTCTGTCTTCTGAGAATGAAGAAATAAAAAAGAGCTGACCCTATTTTATAATTTCAGGGAATACAGCTGAGACAATTTGATGGTGTCTTTGTGCTTTAAATTTTTCTTTTAGTCTTTTACCTAAATCCATTCTTAAATATAAAGGAGGCAGGGTATAATTTGCTAAATTAAAGTTATTTTAATGTTTATGACTGCCAACTAAGAAAGTAAAAAACTTACTATATTTACCTTGAGAGAGCTCACCTGCAGTAGGTCTTAATGGGCTTTTCCCCATCAGACCTGTTCAGTAAGAGGCTTGTTGGTGTCTGGTGTCCAGATTGTGTTCTCATATTCTGGAAGGATGCTGTTTCCTCATACTGATGCCCAAGGGCATCTGATTCCTAGAGAGAAACAATCCCTGGTTACCCA